AAGGTCATCCATGCAGTGAAAACACTGGATAACTGATCTGTGGGCAAACAAATCAAAACTGGAAATTATTTGGACACCAGGTCTTCTGTGTTTGTTGAACCTGATCTTCTTGAAGGATGACCAGAACACTGTTCTCCCATTATGTGAACATTTTACTCAGTACATTGGACAAGGCTAATAAACATTTTCTCTTTTTTTTTTTCTCTGATCACAGCTGATTACGTTTAGGCCTGCCACATCCCTTTGTGGCCCTTCAAAATAAAAGCACTTCCAGTGAAGAACACAAGAAAAAGACCTGTCTCTCTATGGTGTTGAAGTTCATCAGTGCCTTTATCACGGGCAGCTTACACATCAGGAAAGGCACAGTCAGGAAACTGACAGGATTTAGAACATGTGCTCCCATCTATATTATTTTTGTTTGTTTGTTTGTTTTGTTTGTTTTTTTCAGAGAATGACCTCTGTAGGTGCTGACCTCTCAACATTTAAAAACATTTGGTGTATCATGGAATGAAAAATAAAATCCAATAAAGAGGACTCAGGACTGTTAAACAGCTGGAATCATCCTACATCAGCAAAGAATGAGACAACATTCACCTCCAAACACTCCAGCAGCTGCCCTCCTTAGTTATTTATTAACTGTTGTTAAAAGAAGAGAGAATGCTTCACAGTACACGGCCTTGTCCTAACTGTTTTGAAGCATTTTGCTGCTATCAGATTTCCTTTTTTATCTTATAATTACCATTTTTTAATTATACAATTTCTGTGTTCATGTACCATGTTCCATTATAAATAAAATATGGGTTTATATAATGACTGTTAGATGGACATATGCCGATGATATGGGTTAATGTTTTTGTTTTTCAACTATTAATCATTTAGTCAATATATTGATATGGATCGGTGCATCATTACACCCCTACTAGCAAGAAAGGTAGTACATTATGGAGAAAAAGTGGTGACAACAGGACGGTGTCAGGAGAAACAAAATGGTTTATCAAAGCAGGAGACGTATGTTCTCAGAGTGAAGAATTTAGTAAGCGTGTTAACACAAGTAAAAACTGAACTCACTAATCGTGTTTCACCTCATTGTGTGCAAATCTGTCTCATTTTAAAATTGCAAAGACCTTAAGTCTATCTACATCCTGTGTTTATCAGGGAAAAGGAACAAGAAGTTCTACAGGCTGAAGAAAATCAGTCTAAGCTGGTCCCAGACTGAAAACCAGCAGCTGGGATGGGCGAAGTTGGATAGTTGGACACCAGTGGTGCAATTGTTGGATATTTGAGTGATCTGTATCACAGCCACGTGATTTATTAGTCCTGCAGTTTAAAGAGAGGTGTGCTCACAAATAAGCTCTGCCACTGGATGACTGACACATTATGAAAAGAACTGGGCGTGGGGGGGGGG